AAAAGGAGTGAGAGATGTGTGAATGTGTGAGGTAAGATACGATAAACATTCAGCTTTTATTCAGACAAATAGAGTCAGAAAGTGTAAAGCCCCACAGAGAAGCAGCATTAACAATTCATAAAGGTTAAAATAACTGTTTATTCTGAAGATTTCAATAAAGAATGCAAAGAAACTCCCTGTTGTATTGCTATCCGAAGCAATTAAATCATAAACGCTAAGTAAAGTAGTGTACACATATACACTGTACTGCTTATAAGCCACTTACACTCACTCAAAGTCTTTAACACACATACACACACAAACACACATCTCTGTAAAATGCGAAACCGAGTTCTTGGTGGGTTTCTGTGACACTCACGCAAGCTGTTTCTCTAAATGAGCTGTTATGACTGAGCAAAGATTCAAGGTTTAATTTTAAATACGAGCATGTTTTGTATGCTAACCAGCCTTTGAAAATGCTCTCGCTCTCTAATGCACAATCAATAAATCATAAAATACACAAGCTACAAGTTTAAATACACAATCACAAGACACAAACACAGATAATTAATTACCACATATGTATTATTCATTCATGCACACACAAACAACACACACAGACACACACTTTCAAAGCATTTTCATGAATTTTTCAACGTGCACAGAATAAGGATAGCTGTGTGTTTGTGTGTCTTTCTTATTGCAGAAAAACGATCAGACCATTTAGAAATTTCTAGATCACTTCTGTCTCCCAAAAACAATCAGATCCTTAATCTGTGTTCAGACCTTTAAACCTTATAATGCATTTGAAGAACATAACTGGTCCTATTTAAATAAGAAAACAAAAACGCACAAATAAATGAATATGATGTTGAATATGACAAATATGAGACTGGTGTTCACACATTGTATAACATCAAAACATAACATCTTAATAGGACTATTTTGGTTTCATCTGACCATTAAGCCAGTCCTAAAACCAAGTTTTTGGCAAGTTTTACACTCCCATATACAGGCCAATGCAATGGGTCCAGAGAGAAAAATAAATGTGGTTAACCAGATTGAATGTGCACTTGTAGTAGCTCCAAGGGCAATTGAAATACAGACAAGTACAGGCTACTTTACTCTTTGGGATATGAGATATGTTCTTAAAAGTATAGTTAAGAAAACTACACTAATAATAATAGCAGTGGCACAGTGGTTCGCACTGTTGACTCACAGCAAGAAGGTCGCTGATTCGAGTGCCGGCTGGGCCTGGCATTCCTGTGTGGAGTTTGCATGTTCTCCCCGTGTTTGCGTGGGTTTCCTCTTAGTGCTCCGGTTTTCCCCACAGTCCAAGAACTGCGCTATAGGTGAATTGAATAAACTAAACTTACCATAGTGTATGAGTGTGATTGTGAATGAGTGCGTTTAGGTGTTTCCCAATACTGGATTCTGGCTAAAAGGGCATTTGCTGTGTAAAACATATGCTGGAATAGTTGGTGGCTCATTCCACTATGGTGACCTCTGAAATAAAGACTATGCTGAAGGAAAATAAATAAATGAATACTAATAATAATTAGGGGTGTCAAAATTGATTGTTTCTTTTGGTGATGTGATGCAGATGCATTTTACATTTTACATTTACATCACATTTAGTCATTTAGCAGACGCTTTTATCCAAAGCGACTTACAAATGAGGACAAGGAAGCAATTTACACAACTAAGAGCAACAATGAATAAGTACTAAAGGCAAGTTTCAGGTCAGTAAAGTCTAAGAAGGGAAGTATTAGGGTTTTTTTTTTTTTTTGTACAGTTAGTGTGATATTCAAAGAGGCAATTGCAGATTAGGAAGTGAAGTGGAGACTAAATAGTTGAGTTTTTAGTCGTTTCTTGAAAATAGCGAGTGACTCTGCTGTTCTGATGCAGTTAGGGAGTTCATTCCACCAACTGGGCAGATTGAGCGTGAGCGTTCGCGAAAGTGATTTTTTCCCTCTTTGGGATGGAACCACGAGGCGACGTTCATTCACAGAACGCAAGTTTCTGGAGGGCATATAGATCTGCAGAAGTGAGTGCAGATAAGAAGGTGCTAGGCCAGAAGTCACTTTGTAGGCAAACATCAGAGTTTTGAATTTGATGCGAGCAGCAACTGGCAGCCAGTGCAAACGGACTAGCAGCGGAGTGACATGTGCTCGTTTAGGTTCATTGAAGACAACTCGTCTTCAAGATGCAGACAATTCGGTATCGGTTCAGTAATAATCATAACCGGTTATTGTGTACTGATGTCATTTATCTCAAATGCGCTTTGTCGCGGTTGCTTACTATGGTCAGTCTTTCACTGACACTTACAGCAGAAGCCTCTATTTCACTCTTATGGAGGAAATGAAAGTAAACTCCATTTCTCTCTCTCTCACTGAGGCCAATTTGACCTGCTGGTGTGACTTTCCTCTCCTCTCAGCTGTTACAGTTTCAGGATACAGACACGAGCCCGTGTCTGCAGAGCGAGTTTTCTCCTCCGCGTCTGTCATGGATTAGCTGTGATCGCCGCTGCCGTTTATCAGTCTCACTCATCAGTGAACAGCGCCAGCGCGTAAAAGCCAATCGCAGCCCTTTCTGTTGAGGGTGTGACCAATCATAGGGGTGTAAGAAAGAACCCACTAGACAAGGCTCGGAAAGCGAGTGGGATATTTATATTTGCTTATTTGTTATAAATGCTCATGTTGTTCTGTGCATTTACTTGTACTTTTTGTAACTTACTTAAATTGTATTTCAAACAGTATACAACTATAAATATATTTATACATTTCAATAAAAGAATTGCTGTGCTATGAAGAAGATATTAAATTGTGTATGGAAAGCATTGTCAATGCACCGTGATGCACCGAGATAACTGAATCGAATCGCTGACATGATAATTGTAACTGAATTGAACAGTGAGACCAGTGTAGGTTCACACCTCTAATAATAATAATAATAATAATAATAATAATAATAATAATAATAATAATAATAATAATAATAATAATAATAATAATAATAATAATATAATAGTGATGCAGTGGCGCAGTAGTTAGTTCTGTTGCCTCACAGCAAGAAGGTCACTGGTTCGAGCCTCGGCTGGGTCAGTTGGTGTTTCTGTGTGGAGTTTGCATGTTCTCCCTGCGCTCGCGTGGGTTTCCTCTGCGTGCTCCGGTTTCCCCTACAGTCCAAAGACATGCGGTACAGGTGAATTGAGTAAAGCTAAAATTGTCGTAGTGTATGTGTGTGAATGAGTTCATACCGCTGTGGTGACGCCAGATTAATAAAGGGTGAAAATAAAATGAATGAATGAATGAATGAATGAATGAATGAATGTATGAATGAATGAAAAATAGTAATAATAATTTAAACCCTTACTAAACACATACTTCTGTTAAATACAAAAAAAGACAGTTTGAAGATTGATAGACATCCATAACAGGAAAAAAACTAAATTCTTCAAAATACCCTATTTTGTATTTAACAGATGAAACTCAAACCAATTTGGGACAAGTGGAGAGTTGGGGAATTATGATTTTTTTGTTTTTGGGTTAATTATCTCTACACCAAACAATATGTCAAAATATTGGCATGTGTTCATGTTTACAGTCAGTCTTGTTTGTTTTATTGAAAGCTCAGAATTATTGTATATTTAATTCATGTCAAGAAGAATATGCTGTGTTTTATTTTATACCATTTGACTACTTGATTCAATTTAGTCATACTCTTTTTAATGTTATAGACCCTTAAGAATCGTAGATTGCAGTGAACAGGACACTACCACAATTTTTGTTTTCTTGTTTTTTGCTATCCAATTTGCTCAAATAGCAAAAGAAACACTTGATGACTTTCAAAAAAGATTGATAAGCGCCATCAGAACCATTTTTTTTTTATTTGATCCAAAGACGATATAATACACAGTATAGTTTCTAAATGTACATACTGCATGTTAATGTTAATAAAAATAAAAACTTTTAAGGATTTATGATGCTGATGACTGTTAAATGTGTGAAAAGGGTCTGATGTAATACCATATTTATTATTTTTCATTTTTGACTGTATCAACTTGATGTTGTTTGCTGATGTTGACATTTCTCTAAAACAAATTAAAGGATTGGAACCATTTTCGAGTCTATTAACACGTTTAAGTCCTTAAGTGCTTATTATTATAAGTATATTATTATTATTATTATAGGTATAATATTATAATATTATTCATTCGTTCGTTCATTCATTCATTCATTTTTTTCTTTATTAATCTGTGATTGCCACAGCGGAATGAACCGCCAACTTATCCAGCACATGTTTTTACAGAGTAGATGCCCCTCTACAGTAGCTGCAACCCATCACTGGAAAACACACATGCACTCTCATTCACCCACATACACTATGAAATTTTTTGCTTACCCAATTCACCTATAGCATGTCTTTGGACTGTGGTGGAAACCAGAGCACCCAGAGGAAACCCACATTAACATGAGGAGAGCGTGCAAACTTTACACAGAAATGCCAAATAACTCAGCCATGGCTCGAACCAGCAACCTTCTTACTGTGAGGCAATCGTGCTACCCACTACGACATCATGACCCTATAATTATTATAATAATAATAGTAATTATCATTATTAATCAACTTTTCTTTTTACATTAACGTCTTTGGATTCGCGTTCCATTTAGCCCACAGACTCACAGCTTGAACAATGATCCTTGCATATTTTTAATCTAGAAAATATGATAGTTATTTAGCCATTCACCAGTAGCAGCCAACAGTAAAATAATTCTGTCCTTTAAAGAATCTTGTCCTTTCTGTGACACAGACGTCTGCATGCCATTTTAAAACAGTTCAATTTGACTCTCAGTACTTTAGAACACATGTAATGCAGAGAACCTAATTTCACAGATTCAATAAAATAGGAAAACTGATTAAGGGCCTGAAGGCTTTTCTAATTCCTCTTTTCATAGATTTCCTCCTCCAGCTGTTTCTGTTTGATCTACTGTAATGTGAAACATGAATGAGGCCCTTACCTTATGAGGAGCAGAGGACCCACCAGCGAAGGGTGCCAGGCTGGCAGGAGGGTCAGTGATGTAGGTTTTTTTGGGAGGAGCAGGCTGGTACCCTTGGCTGGGTGTTGGAGCAGGATGGTGGCTCGGTTCAGCCCTCCATGTGTTCTGTCCTCCATAACCAGGAGCTACCCCATAATGCTGGTCCTGGTAGCCTCCAGATGGAGCAGGGCAGAATCCAGGTTGTGGAGGCCCATATGCGAATTCTGGAGCTCTGGGTTGAGCCGGCATGTACTGTACCTGTCCTGGACCACGCACCGGTTGCTGCTGAGGGGCAGGCTGAGCAGCCCTGACCTGAACATTAAAGGTGGGCTGGCTCGGTGTGGAGGCGGTGGTGTAGGACGCTGGTACAGGCTGGGGTGCAGGCTGGAACTGAGGTCTTGGAGAAGATGAAGCTGGTGGAGTGACGTTTTGAGGCGCCTGTGGTTTCGGGGTGGATTTCTTGGTGGCGGTTAGAGGGGGTTGGGTTGGAATCACCATGCGCCGATAGCCTGTAACAGGGGCGTTAGAGCCTGTTGCAGCAGGACTGGCAGAATTCTGGAAGAAATAAGCATTACATTGGAAAATAAGTAGATATTTTTGTTAGCTAGACAAAAGGACTATGTTTCAGATTTTGACATGACAGGAATAAGAATTGTGTGTTATTCATTTGATTTCAGTTTAATTGCTGACTGTATTTGATTTGAATTGCAATTTGAATGCAGACATATAATCAAACAGAAACTCCACACAATAATTGTATAGTTTTCAACTAAACATTTGTTTGTTGTAGACAGTGTTGGGTAAGTTAGATTTAAAAAGTAATCGATTACAAATTACTGACTACTACTGGAAAATTGTAATCTAATAACATTACTAATTGCTTAGTGTAAAAAATAATCAGATTACTAATTACTTTACTTTGAAGTTACTTTAAAAAAAATATATATATACCTATTAAAATACAAAATAAACTGCAGCTCTTTCAGCAATTTCATAATCACTGAAAAACATTGCAATGGGTTGATCACAGCAGCTTGACATATTCAAAAGACTTAAAGAGATAGTTCGCCCAAAACTTAGAATTCTCTCATAATTCAGTTGTTTCCAAACCTGTTAGTCTTTTTTTAAACATTAAAAAACAGACAGAAAAAAATGGATACCAGTAACCACTGACATCCATAGTATCAAAAATCAGTTTTCAACTCGGTGCAAATGGGAAATGTAAGAGTGTGCAATTGTAAGAGTGTGCAACTCCAATTTAGCCTGTTTAGGCTGGGTGAGGCCACTGTGTTTTTGGGCGCTGGTGTCCCCCTCGGTGACGAGTATTGTCGTGGAATGCTTTCTGTTCAAGTGCTTGAAAAAGTTGCTAGTCGAGTTAAAAAGTACTTTATAGACTTGTCATAGACTATTTCACAGCAATATTTTTGTTTTTACACTCAGTGAAATCAATGTAATGTTTATATTTCCACTTGAAGATGCAGCTACTCTCGACAGCAACCATTTCAGCTTGTGTTCTCCAGCAATTTAGAAGCGCATGTTAACTGATGTTGCAGCAAAAAATGTCATTTAAAAGAAGCTTTTTTTCTTCTAAAAACTATAATTGTAAAGTCAGTAACGGAATTACATTGGCTTTCGTAACTGTAATCAAATTACACAAATTTAAAATGTACATTACTGTGTTCCTCAAAAATGTAATTAGAATACAGTAACGTACTACTGTGGAACGCCTTACACCCAACTCTGGGGGCAGATAATATTTTTTAACAAAAAGATTTTTGTAAATAGATTCAATAGAGCTGTGGAAAATAATCATTTGAGATATCCATTCTTCATAGATTCTGCGATTTTCAAAATGTATCGCCATTCTTTCCTGAACTGATTCTGGGCTTCTTTTAACAATGGCTTACAAACAGCCAATCCGATCCGATTCCATACAAACACCCCTGTAACCTGAAATAATCATTAATAAAGTAAGGACAGTTTTAAGGGAGTGCTCATGGTGAGCTGTGTTTCCATGAATCTTGTGAAGTAAATCCAATGTACATGACTAATGAGAAAATCACTTTTCTTTGTGAGCAATTTAATGTACTGTATGGCCAACAACTAGCCTACACTGTAAAACCCAACAGTCAACTTTATCAAATGAAATGAGTGTAGTTAACTCAGAACTTACTGAAAGTTCATTCTACTCATTTGAAAAGAGTTTTAAATTCAGTGTCAAAGGTAATGAGTTAATTAAATACTTCAGTACTTCAACTTTAATGGAGTAAGTTCACAGTACTCATATAGATTTATTTATTTATAGTTTTTTAACTCAAATGATTTGTAGCAATTGGTTTCCTCAATCAGTTTGAGTTGCCTTAACTTATTGGGTTGTACAGTACTCAGTTGGTTTGAGTTCTCTTCATTTTTTGGGGGTTTTACTGTCCTCAAAATGCTTCATTTGCTCAAATGGATTAAGTTCACAGTACTCATTAGGATTCGTTTTTGAACTTTAATGGTTTCAATTGGTTTTCTCAAATGGTCTTAACTTTTTAGGTTTTACAGAGTAGTGCTCCATTTTTTATTTGAATATAAGTTCAGAATCGATTCAGGAGAGAATAGAGATGCATTTTGAAAAAGTCTATGCAGAATCAATTTCTTAAACAATTTTTTCGCCACAGCTCTAATACTCAAAGAAAGAAACAAACTAAAAGCTCTGAAGCTGTAACAGAAAGGGCTGCCCCCAACAATTGACAAACGTTATTCAACGAGGAGAGCCTTGGTTGACTAAAATGCAATAAGTGGCTTAGTAGCAGATTTTATTAAATATTTTTAAATCCACAAGATATGGTGAAGTAAATCATGCTGTTCATGATTAACAGATCAATAATGTCTGTAATGAGGTAACAGTACATCAGGTAGCGCACGCAAACACTTGCCTACCATTCATCGACCCCAAATAGGAGCTTTAGATGGCCGTCAATCTATTAGCTTAAAAAAAAGTGTGATCGATTTAAGTGTCTATGCAGAGTTTTGAAGATAAGGAGTAGCGCTGTGCTCACTGCATGACAGATTGCTGCAATCGCTAGCTCTTAAAGTACATTACTCTTGCTTTACAGAAATAAAGATATAGAACAAAATGTCTTATTTACCAGAGTGGATTAATGAGATTTCACAGATAATATCCCAGATGCCATTATATGTTATTTATATTTTACAAGCTCCACTTCCAATTCCAATTCAACTGGCAAGGCATGACTAATTTAAATTTTAAGTAAATTTCTCAAATTTTGCCAAATCTTGACTGACATCAACATTGCAAACCTTTGATAATATCCATCACAACTCACCAACTGGCTAACAATAATAATGGAACGAGCACATTAGAGGCGGCCCTAAAGGGGTGTACATCAGGGGGCGCAGAACCTTCATAGAGCCACAATTTAATCATCCACATCTCACAGTAATTATACAGTCTGTCTACAACAGATCGATCCACAGGGCAAGTGCAACAACCATCAGTTGGTCGTGCCCAGATCACATCCACTCATAAACTATGGCTAATAAAGCTTTAAGATTTACAGTCAATAGCGGGGTATAAATTGTTTTGGTGGAGAGAGAGAGAGAAATGATGGGCAGCCTGACCAGGGCAGAGACAATTGTGCTGATGCTAGAGGTCTGCACGGGACACTGGCTAAATCAGAAAGATTTGTGTCCTTGGATTCCTACTGTAGGTGGTTCGGCTCTGTAAGCTTAAAACAGAGAAGCGTATTCTGCGTCCAACAATTTCCTGAGGCCATTCAGTCTATTCAGTGTCACAGAGCCTGAGGACAGGCTCCATTTCTGCAGATGTAAAAAGATTACGGAAAATTCAACTAAGCCCAAACCCGGCGACAACCATCAAAGATCAAAATAAATCCTAGCTGTAGAGCATTTGGTGCTTTTGTCTGATTGAATTAAAAGACCAAAGAGATACTTCCATTCTATAATATTTGGCTGATTTGATTCATCTATAGAAGGCTGTTCTGTCATAACTAACCAGCTAAATGAAGACCAAAGAGACTCTAATTTCATGATGAAACATTCAGTAATACACTTCGTGATAGCACATCATTGCCTCGAGCAGAACTGCACGTTTTAAACACGTCTGTGAAGTGAATGTGCCTATAAAAATGTTTTAATCTAGTGGTGATGCCCATCTCTCCATGAATTCAGACAGGAAGTGTTTGGTTGTGCGGGGAAAGGCGCTGTTGCATCATGCATTTTAGATGGGTTTCATGGTTAGGGCGGCTTGCAAGTAAGTGGGTCAGAAAGATGTCTTTAACCCAAGAATCTTGGGGCAAAACCAACTAGTTCTACAAATGCAATGATAGATGCTGTCATGTACTTTTCTAAGGGAAAAAAATGAATGTAATTCCAGTTGAAATTGCTGTTAAAGTTGTAAAATAAAGTTGTATAACATCTTTTTACTGTAACCTAAAGGGTTACAACAGTTCAAACCAAAATGTACCGTCAATGCACTGTACTTACACTAAGGCAATTCAATATGTTGGAGACATTTTTTTTTTATTTAAGATTTTTAGCATCAACTAACTTATGAGTACGGCCAGACAGAATCTGCTGATATTTTTTATTTCTGCGCAGAATATTGTTAAAATTCTGGTTTTATGAGGAATGATTTTGGGTGTAACGCAACTAAAAACTTAACATGTTAAATTAAAAAATAATACATTTTTAACTTTTATTTAATGTTTACAATGCAAATCCTACTGGATCCATTTATTTGGTAAACAAAGCAAGTCTCTCATATAATATAGCTACCCAGTACCACCGCAGAGTATGCAGGCTGTGTAGGGCACCAATTCTGGAAGGGGGCACCATCATGGTTGCTCAAAATAAAATATTTATTTAGTAATATTAACAAAAACAAAGTGTAAATAAAAATATATTGATATTATGTAAATAAATACATTTTAAAAATGCATTTTATGGTGAACGCAAAAAAGTGACATAATTTTTCTTCTGTGCGCGAATACATGCGCGGTGCGCCCCAGTGTCATGAGAAATCGAGGTTCACTTATGTTTGCCGCTGCTAACAACATATAATTATAACGATTATAAATGATGCAAGCTGCAACTTTATGCCAGAAAAAAGACAACATCAGTTTGGAGCCAAGAAGAGGAAAAAAGGATTAATCCTATGCATCACTTTCAGGTAACTTATGCCCATGGATCTGGAAAACATAAAATTTTCGGTTTTGTAAATGTTTAAAATTATGAATGCTTCTGCAGAAGGCATGTCAGTGTTTATTTTGATGAAAACTATTATTTTATAACGTAAATATTTCAATGTTTAAGTGCAAACACAAACACACACACACACATATATATATATATATATATATATACATATATATATATATATATATACATACATGTTTATATACATATGCTTGTGTGGTTTTATTTTTCTGTGGAAATTACTGTAAAGTCTTGTTATATGCATGTATCTACCATAAATCTACCATATATTTACTAAAAGACAGAAAATAATAATTTACAAACTGTATTGT